AGGTAGAATTCATATCATGATAGTGGGAGCGGGGAGGAAACATTTAGGAACTAAAGGAAAGTTGTATTTTTCATCGTTGCTACATCGCCCCCTGACTGGCTCGTCTCCTCCCTGAGACCCCTCTGCAAGGGGGTCTGGTTTTGTTGTTTTTTAAAGATGCTTATAATACCCTCAAATTTGAGGAAGAACATTTATTTCCCCAAACAATGTAACGCACGTCCTCTTCTCTTCCATTGTAGGATGCCGTGATAATGGCCGACAGGTAAGACTTTTGTTCATTTTTCTGGGCCCCCAGCCTCCGGATGTCTGAATAGACTCAGCTTCACTTTGCTATATGATTACAGCTTCCACATTTGTGTCTGGCCCTAAGAGTAAAATAGCGCTGCCTTTGGACTGGAGGCTTCTGCGAGGGGCATGGGGTCACAGGATCTGCTGGTCTCGAATGTGAGAACCTCAGGGCCGGACGGGAACGTATGGCAGGATGCAGCCAGCTCTCCTCCACAAGGTCCTGGCTCACCTCGGAGGAAACTGTATCTGCAGAGGCTGTGACTGCCTAGATCCTCCCTTTAGGGCCTGCTTTTTGCCAGGACCCAGACTGTGGGACCTCAGAAAGCACATGTGTTAGAGTCAGGCAGACTACAGGTCTGTCTAATCCTGCTAGCCCTAGGACCTAGGACACATCAACTCAGGTCAGAGCGCACCTTCCTCATCTACAGAGCCAATCTTGTGATAAGTTAATAGGGCGATGGTTGTAGAGCAGCACGAACCTCGAAGGTAAAGATACAAGGGTTAAGTGATGGGCCGGGGCAAAAGACAGGTCTGGTTTCGAATGCTGCTTCTACCACTTGCAAACCCTCTGGCTGAGGAAGTAGGGCCAAGGAGCCCCAGAGCCCTACTCTGTGGCCAGCCATGAGGAAAGGAGCCCTGGGGCTGGTAAGCTACACTTTAGGCTGCTAACGGCATGGTTGGCACTTCAACCCCTCCAGCTGCTCCGTGTAGAAAGATGTGAGATTCACAGCCTTAGAAACCCAAGACAGGATCACTCTAAGGTGGAATTGACTCAAGGGCAGTGGGGGTTTTTGCTGGTTTGTTTGGCCATGTGGAAAGCTCGGGAATTTTTCAGAGAGTGTAATTCTGAAGCTCATGGATGGAACCCCGCCACACAACCTTATCTATGCTCTGCCCCCCTTCCCCTCAAAAGAGGATCAAACTAACCCCATTCATCCACATTGATGACCTTCTAGGTCAGTCCACAAAGCAGATGGTGGAAGAAAGCTACAGCTTGTGAAAGTAGAGAAATAAAAGTGCATGGAAGTGGTCCTCTCCCTGGCCTCCCCATGACCCAGCCTATAGACACACCCTACAGAAAACGCCCCTTCCTCCATGTGCTGTGTCTTTTTACACGAATAGACTTGGGAAGTTTCTGAAAACCAAAACAGATGTGGACCTTTCTGCCCAGCCTGACTTTGAAGACCAAACCTTGGACTTCTCAGACGTGGAGCAGCTGATGGATTCCATCAACACCATCCCAGGTGCCTAGCTTACCTGTGTGCCTCTAACCCAAACCAGTTGCCATCCAGTTGACTCTGGACTCCTAGGAAGCCCATCTGTATCTGAGTAGAACTGTACGTCCATAAGAGTTTCAAGGGCTGATATGTTTAAAGGTACTTTTGGGTGGAATCAAACTTGCAGCCTCTTGGTTAGCAACTAAGCTTGTTAACTGTTTGCACGCCCCCACACAGAAACTCTGCCCAGGTACATACATCATGGCAAGTTCAGATTTCCCCGAGTGCTAATAAAAAAATTATAATGGCTAAAGAAATGATAGCATTTTAAGAACAAATTGGGGTCTTTCTTCCCCCTCTGTAGAGCATGCTTTCATTGTGATGGCTTACAAGGGTTAGAACAGAGGTCACCCTCCGGAGGGAAGCACGGATTTCACTGTTCAGAATGGCACTATCTAGTCCCAAACAGCCTGAACAGACTGCATTTGCCACCCTCCCAGCTTCATAAGCACTTGCCCTACTTCTGGACTGACCCCTAGCAAGCATTTGCCTTCCATGTAGTCTCTCTCTTCTGTTCTGCATGAGCACAAGGAGGGAGGGAGGCCAGCTGATCACACGCTTTTGGCTTGCCTGGGAGGCTGAATAGTAGAGCGAGCCGACTGAGAATCCCAGCTGGGCCATCTCCAGCTCTGACTTTGGATTACTTGCCACACCGCTGTGGGCCTTGGTAAAAGGAAGCCAATAATGCCTCGTGGAATGCGGTGAGAGTTAAAGGAAGTCATCTAGGTACAGCACGGCGCATGGTAGTAGGTTGTGGTGTCGCCAGGTGTCTTCAAGTCAGTTCTGACCCACAGTGACTGACTCCAAGTACGACAGTGCCAAACCCTGCCCTTCCTGCGCCATCCGCACAACGGGTGTTATGTTTGAGCCCCTTGTTGAAGCCACTGTGCCATTCTATCTGCTTGGGGTCTTCCTCTGTTTCGATGCCCTTCTACTTTCCCTAGCACGATGTCCTTGTCCAGGGTTGGTCTCTCCTGATGCTATGTCTAGAGTAGGTGGGACAGTCTCACCAACCTCGTTTCTAAGGAGCATTCTGGCTGTACTTCTCCCAAGAGAGACTTGCTTTTTCTTTGGGCTGTCCATGGTGCTTTCAATATTTTTTGCTAGAACCATAATTCAAATGGATAGATTCTTCTTCAGCCAAGATCCATCTGGTGCCAGAAATGATATCCCTTGTTCCACAAACTCTTCTGGATGCAGCTTGAATTTCTGCAGCTCTCTCTCGATGTACTGTTGTGATATTAAAGATCACTGTTGAATTATCTTCAGCATAATTGTATTTGCATGTGATATTAATAATAGTGTTCTATAATTTTTGCATTCTGTTGGGTCATTCTTCTTTGGAATGGGTACAAATATGGATCGCTTCCAGTAAGTTGGCCAAGTAGTTGTCTTCCAAATTTCTTGGCATAGGTGAATGAGCGCTTCCAGTACTTCATCGGCCTTTTGAAACATTTTCATTGGTATTCTGTCAATTCCTGGAGCCTGGGAACGCCTTCAGCGTAGCTTGGACTTCTTCCTTCAGCACCATCACTCTCAATCATATGCTACCACTTGAAATGTTTGAATACCAACTAGTTTTTTTTCCTCTCAATATGGAACACTTCACGAATTTGCGTGTCATCCCTGTGCTGGGACCATGCTAATCTTCTCTGTATCATTCCAATTTTAGTATATGTGCTGCCGAAGCGAGCACACCAACTAGTTCTTTTTGGTTCAGTGACTCTGTATTCCTTCCATCTTCTTTTGATACTTTCTGCATTGTTCAATATTTTGCCCATTGACTCCTTCAATATTGCCCCTCAAGGCTTGAATTTTTTCTTCAGTCCTTTCAGCTTAAGATATGCTGAGCATGTTCTTCCTTTTTGGTTTCTACCTCCAGAGATTTGCATATTTCATTATAAAGTTTAGTTTTGCCTGCTTGAGCTGCATCTTGACATTTTCTGTTTGGCTCTCTTGTGTCATCGTCTCTTCCGTTTCCTTCAGCAAATATTACTGTTATGACTTCATAGAATGATACTAGATGCAGATTTCCTTGACTCATTTTTTCTTCCTCACCAACACCCAACATAATTGTAAACAATGTTGTCTATATCATTTCAGTATTTTACTTTGCCTAGATTTTTTAAATAAAAATGGGATTGGGCTATTTTGTAATCCCCCCGCCCCCAACAAGCAGCCATAATGAATATATTCTCACACAGATAAATTCTTCTCCAATATGATTTTAATGGCAGCATAAATATTATATTACATATAAGTACCTTAACATATTTACTTGTCAATGTTTGCCGAAAATGGCAACCTTCCATATGGATTACAACTCAATGTCAAGAATATCAAAATCCTCACAACTAAACCAATAAAGAATTTATATTCCCACATGATATTTCTAGATTTTTCACCATTATTATCCTTATTTGAAAAATAAAAGTCTTTGACACCGCTCTTAGAATCATGGGGTCTAAGAAAGATTTCACTGAGCTGTGGGTGCCAATTGGATGGTCCTGTTCCTGTCCTAGAATACCAACCAAAAACCAAACCCACTGCCCTTGAGTTGATTCCAACTCATCGTGGCCCTCCATAGGGTATCCTAAACTGTAACTATTTAGCGGAGCAGCCAGCCTCACCTTTACCCCACAGAGTAGTTGGGAGAGCACCACCCAGAGAAGCAGGTCTGGTTGTTTGGGGACCTGCCGTTCATTTCCAGCCACTGCACCCCTGCACAACCTCCGTCTATCTGTCCATGGAGATAGATGTGTGGTGCTGGGATGCTGGACAGGTTTCTGAGGCACTTTCAGACTAAGGCAGACAAAGAAGAAAGGTCCGACAAGCTACATCTAAAAATCAGCCAATGAAAACCCTGTGGATCCCCACTTCTACCTTACAAACCCAGCTAGACCGGAGCTACAGAAAAGAGCTCTCGACACAGAACCCAGGACAGATAAACCCCTCAGGAACAATCATGAAAGTAGCGATACCATAAGGGTAGGGGGAGGTGGGGGAGAAAGGGGAGAACCTTTGATCACAATGATCAACATAAAATGCTCCCCCACCATGAACAACAGAAACATACGTGAAGGGAGACAGCAGACAGTGTAAGATATGAAAATAATAATAATTTCTAATTTATCAAGTGGGAGGAGCTGATACTAAGGGCTCAAGTAGAAAGAAAATGTTTTGAAAATGATGATGGCAGCATGTGTTCAAATGTGCTTGACATAATGGATGTATGGATTATTTTAAGAGCTCTGATACCAGTCTATAAATTTTTCTTCAGACTCATGCAGCCATGCAATAATGCCGAATTCAGGAAGATCACAGGCCAGTGGGTGGAAAGTCTTTTGGATCCAGTGGTGATGGAAGCATCTTAGAGGTGGCCTGGTTCTTCATGTGGTTCCTCCAGCTCCAGGGTCCTGACTACCATCAGCTTAGCTCCATGTGGCTTGTCAACAGGGATGTCTCGCAGGGAGTGAGTGTGTGTCCCACCTCCAATGAGCTATTTATCTCCTTAGCGCCTCCAAATGAGGTCATCAAGCTGTGACCTGATTAACAGTCTAAACTCTACCCCTTCACTCTTAATAGTCTCAAATTGACAACAGATTATGTAGCTACCACACCTCAGTTGCCTCCTAAGGAGGGTAATGAGGTAGTCACCTAATCTGGTGTCAATTTGAGAGGATTACGAGTGAAGGGGTGGAATCTAGTCTGTCAATTGGATCATAGCCAATGAGGCTTCTGTGTGGGCATGGTCTTCTCCTGAGAATTCTGGGAAATCTGGTATTTCCTTCTTGGAGGTGGGAGACTCTCTTACACTCCCTGGGAGTCTCCCTGGGAGACATAGCAGCTGACAAGACATGGACCCACCCTGATGCAGAGGCCCTTGCCAGTGCTGAGATGTTTCCAATGCAGAGACCCCTGCCAGCGCTGAGATGTGTCCAATAACACTGGATCCAAAGACGTTCTACCCACTGGCCTGTGATCTTCTACATTTGGCGTCATTGCATGTGTTTCATGAGTCTGAAGAGGACTTTATAGATTGGTATCGGACAT